GTAGCAGTAGTGGGAGTACTAATTTTGGATGATGTTGTAGTCATGGTTTGCAAGAGAATAGATTTAATACAGGATACATAATTTATAGGATTAATTCAAATATTCACCCAAAAAGTCAAATGCAGAAGAGCACAGGAGATCTATCCACACACTAGAGACTTAAAGAATCCAGGTGAGGGTCTAGATCCCATAGCACGAGTCCAGCTGGAGGCCTAGAGCCCATGACAACATCTCATGCAAGTCTGTATCAAGGATATGCACTGAGAAGGCCCAAAGGTCAGTGGTGGAAGCTAGAACATCTGCACCAGTGGGGTGGAGGATCTGTGCCAGCAGGCTGAGGGATCTGCACTGAAGCAAGAAAGCCATGCTCAAGGTAAGGACCAGAGCTCCGCTGGATACAACCACAGCCATCCTTAGTGACAGTGAGGACCTGAGGTCCTCCAAGAATGAGAACAGCTGAGCTCATATCAGGAAAACCAGCATGACAACCTTCTCCAGGAGAATCAACAGCACACCACTGTCCCTTCCATTTCTATTTTTATGCTGTTAGCAACAATCCTCAGGTGATCCTCCCATATCGAGAACCCTGTTGATTCATTTCAACTGGATGCTACAATTTGACCATTAGTTAATCCCCCGCAGATGGATTTCCACTTGAGTCATTTCAGAAGAGAAAAATGGTTCAGTCTTGAGATACACAGAGATATATTCCCACATCTCTAGTGAAAGATTCATATTTGCATAGGATTTTAAAGCAAATGGGAAGAGAGAATTCATATACAGGTGAAACTTAGTATCTTCACCTCCATCTTGGTTACCTGGCAGTAAATTCTCAGTGTCACAGATTTCTGAAGAAATTAGAAACACAAGTGGGTGTGTGAACATCTCAGATCTTTAATTCAACTTCTGGTGTAACCAAGAGACTTCTTTAAGCCATTGATGATGTGAAGAAAGGAGATGAATTTTGGCTCAGAGCCCTGTGAATTTTGTGTATCTTAATCCTATCTCCTTCCTCTGGGTTTTGAGCTCATTGGTGATGCTGAGTCTCAAAAGCAGCAGTCTAATTAGTGTTTCTCACCTTTCCAAGCAGTGATTTGAACTCCTTAAACAAAAATGTTATAAATGGGGCTGGGGATTTAGCTCAGCGGCAAAAGCGCCTGCCTGGCAAGTGCAAGGTCATGAGTTCGGTTCTCAGTACCGGAGAAAAACCATAAAAACAAAACAAAACAAAACAAAAACAAAAAAAATGTTATAAATAAGTCTCTGCCTGATCTAAGTATTGATTGCCTTTTGATCATATCTGCGAATTGAGGTAGTGGGCATTTAAGTGTGAGGAAAAATTAACAGTTGATGTGCTGGGACCCCCACTTTCTTTTATGGGTCCTACCTTCCCCCAGGTTGGGGATATTCTTTCCATTCATCTGCATCTTTCTATCTTCCCCACTTGTCCAAGAATATGACCCTCATAGCTTTGTTAGAAAATGTTCATAACATACTGAATGTAGCTCACATGGTAAAATTCAAAATTTAGAAAGTAGAAAAGTCATGTGTCAAAGAGCGGGATATCTGGGCGTGTGCAGTGTCTTAAATTCAGAGGGTGAGTGAAACACAGAATTGAGCCTTGGGGAATTTTTTGATACCTTCATTTGGAAGCATATGAGTTGGATCTCTTTGAAGACTCAGGATTTGTTTGGGAAAGATGTGGTTACAGCTCTGGGATTCAATCTCAACTCCCCCCCATCATATTGTGTGAAACTGTTGGTCCTTAATACTTTTGGGTGCTCATTGTTTGCATTTAGTATATATCGAGTCCATTTTCTCAAGGTAGTAGGCGTGTTAGCATAAGGAAAAATGGCAAGCAGAAACATCCATATGACACCCAGGATTTGGAGGAAGGTTTTTTTAATGTGGAACAGTTGCTGACAGGGAATCAACTGTCCCTCAAAATGTCAGGCCCTGAAGGCTCAGGAAGGGAGGGTTTTATGGGTTTTTATGGGTTTTATGCTTGCTGCAAGCAAGCAAGCAAGCAGAGTACTTGGCTGTCTTTGGTCTTTACAATATGCACCATGGCGACCAGCTATGCATCATAGTGACCAGCCGTTTCTAAGAGAGAGAAGCAACCGGAACTGGGACAGGAACTGTCGCCTGGGCAACTGAAGTATACCGGCTGTGGGCGCATTTTCTGCTACAAAGATGGTGCCGACTGTGGGCTGTGGATTACACCCATCCTCCCACCTGTCTTAATAAGATCTCGTGAGCATGCCGTGACACTTCATTGTTCTCCTATCACCTCCAGCTACTTTCAGGCTATAACAGCCACTGAGTATTTGGGAGAGAGACACAACCGAAGACATTTATCACTTGGTTCTTCAGCAAAAGTTCCCAGCCCTCTGCTTTGTTTCATGTTTTTTATTTCTTTTCCCAGTACCGGGAATCAAACTCACGACCTTGCGCTTGCCAGGCAGGCGCTGTGCCGCTGAGCTAAATCCCCATCCCCTGTGCTTTGTTTCATGAAATGGTTTATGAATATAAATAAAATAGTACCAGAGTCCACCAACCACATGGAAAAGCACCAGAAATGTTGTCAGAGTCAACCTATTATGCAATCTGATCTGGCAGTCCACACCCAAGGAAGATTAGGATACGGTTTTCCCTAGAGGACTTCTATGATGAATTAGAAGAATTGATCAAAATGAAAAAAATTTAAGACATAAAATACAAGCACATGAAAGAGGAATTTGTTTCAATTTAGCCAGTGGAATCTTCACCATGGAGAGCTTATCCAACGTTTGGATGGATGAACAGAATTTCTAGTAGTGCCACTGCCTCCTGAGATAAAATAACTAGAGATGTGCAAACAAAGGAGCCAATCAGCTTTTAGGAATCGGGAATGACATCCACCAGAAAAGTGCAGCTGAATTAAAACTGAACAATTCAGGGAAAAGTAAAACCAGAGCCAGATCTTGACCCTAAGCAGCAACATTCTAAGAAGTGACCTCAACTAAGAGTGAAAGTCCTCACCGCCTGAGTTGAAGAAATATTTCAAGGTGTTGTTGTGTTTCCAACAGCATCATTTTATCTGGGATATTTGCAGCGTGGGATCCCTCTTACTTGTGTACTTACCCTTGCTTGGGATCACACTTACTGTTCACCGAGGCTGTGTTGAGAACATTTTTAAACACATAGTAGGAAAACCATGCTCATACTTAAAGCAAACACACTCATAGTTAAAGCAAACAGTAACAGGCACACGGACACATTCCTATTTTTCCCTAAAATGGCCTGATTTCTTTACAAAGAACCAGCTCACCTTTCAGTAGTCATACTCCTGTGGTTCATTTCATTAGAAAGCCCTCAACCTCTGTTTCAAAGCATAGAGAGTGACTTGGTAGGTGTATCCTGTCGCACTGTGACCATGTCTTCAATAGTGGCCTCTCTATTTCAAAAGCTGTCTAGCTCTAGCTTGGGGCTGACCCTTGAGACAGTGCTCCTGATTGCTATGGAAAGGACCAAAGAAGAAATATATCAACGTGGTCCATTCCTCCTCTGCTGTGCTGCTGCTGTTGTCTCCTTTGCTGTATGTCTTTCCTCTCTTCACTTTGATGTTTGTCTGTGTTTCAATGCCTGCCGCAAATCTGAACCATTCACAGATTCCTTGTTGATGACGTGGGTGGATTTGAGGTGAGATTTTTACTACTAATTTAACAAAGTTGAGCTGTATTTCTGTTTAGGGCCTTGCACCGTGTATTAACATAAGATGCCCATGCAGTACTTCTGGGAGGCAATCTACTGTTTCAGGGAAAGTTAATTTAATATTATTTTACTTTTTCATAGTTGTTAAAAATCTATCTATAATGAGAAATACTACATATACTTATTTCTTTTTAAAATTTATTTTAAAAATAAAAGGAAAATGTAATAACAAATAGACATCCATTTACAAAACAGCATAAGAACAATGCAAGCAATACTGAATTACAGACAAAGTGGTAGGAAATTAACAATGGTTGTTGTATTACATGTTGATATCTTCAAAGTGATTTCTCAGGAAAACAAGTAGAGACATGCAAGATTGATCAAATAATTAATCATTAACTGTTTCTTTCAGTAAAGAGATAGAAGTCAGTAGTATAACTATGTTAGCTATCCTGTATATACATACACACTTATTTTCCCCTTCTTTCTTTTCTCTTTTCCCTCATCTCAGTTGCTCTTTACTTTTGAGCAGTTTCCTTTCATTTCACAATGTCTATCATACCTGTTAATTTTTATTCACTCTTTCAGGTTCTTACATTAGTGAGACAATGTGTTGCTTACACATGGAGGTCTGATTTATTTCACTTATGAGTATGGTCTCTAGTGACCACTTACCTGTCAAAGCCTCGAGTTTTATCTTTCTTTATAGCTGAGTAAAACTCCATTGTATAAAAATACCACAATTTTTTAATCTATTCCTCAGTGGATGGACATTTGGATTGCTTCCACAATTTAGCTATGACAAATGCTGGTGAGGCTGTGGAGAAATAGGAATTCTTCTCCACTGCTGGTGGGAATGCAGACTGGTGAAACCACTGTGGAAATCAGTTTGGAGATTCTTCAGCAAACTAGGACTAGGGGTCCCATTCAACCCAGCTATTCCCCTTCTGGGTATTTTCCCAGAAAAACTGAAAACATCACATCACAGCGATATATGCACACCCATGTTTATAGCAGTGCAATTTACATATACTTATTCCTTAAAGCTTCTTTGAAACCTGGCAACCAATTGAAATTCTGCGGATTCCACATAATACAATTTTAGGTATTCCAACACATTTTGAAGTAGGAGGAGATCATGAAATTGAGCATAGAAAATGTGCTATTCCATCAGATTCTGTCTTAACGAACAAAGATGTGCTGAATAAGAATGAATAACATGATGGCATGAAATACCCTGCGGTGAATAACAGATTGGATAATTATTGTCAGTCCGTGAGTCAGAGTGTTGTGCTTTGTCATAGAAGATCAGCTGGGGAAAACTAGGAAAGGCATGGTCCCAGTGCAACCCCCTTTCCAAAGGAGACGCCCCGCTCGCCCGCTAGAGATTGGAGCTCCGTTCTACCAAGACAACCAACTGCAAGTCAAGGTCTACTGGAAAAAGACTGAAGGTATCTAAATGTCTTTTGCTTAAATGTTCTTTGCTTTAAATAGCTTGAAGATATAAAGAGGTAGGTCCTTTTTTACAAAAAGTAAATGTAAAGCTATGGTATTGCTACTAAGTGACGTAACGAAGTACTTAAACACCTTTAGTTTTTCTTCTTTCCCTTCCCCTTTCCCATTATATCTCCCCTCCTCCTTCCCTTTCCTTCCCTTCCCTTTCCTTCCCTTCCCGTCCCTTCCCCTTTCTTCTTTTTTCCTTCTTTTTTCTTTCTTTCCTTCCTTCTTCCCTTCTTTCCTTCCCTTCTTCTTTTCTTCCTTCCTTCTTTCTTTCCTTCCTTCCTTCCTTTTTTCCTTCCTTTCTTCCTCCCTCCCTCCCT